CCAGGCCCTGACAGACCTTGCCCAGCCCCTGCCCCAGCCAGATGATGAGGAGATGCAGACCCTGTGCTCCCCTGGACACCCCCAGCCCCAAGGGCATCCCCCGGCCCCTCTCCCTGCCCCGGCTGAGCGAACTTCCAGGGCGCCCTGACCCGGCACCTGCTAAGACACCGGAGCAGGCTCACCCACACGGCTGGCACAGCCTCACCTTCCCGGAGGACACGGTACATGCCATCCAGGGCATGGGAATAACTGGAAGGAGCGAGAGGGGAAGGGGTCAGGGCCCGAGTCTCCCCAGCACGGCCGCAGCCCCGCTGCTCCCCCGGGCACCGGCGGCCCCACCCGGACCCCAGCGCCCCCGGAGCGGTGCTGCCCCCCCGCGGCCGCGCGGACCCCGGCCCCGGTCCCGCCGGCCCCTCCAGGCCTCCCCCCCTCGGCCCCAGCGCCCCTCGCCCTGCCCCTCACTCACTTGCGCCGCTGGTCCGGCGGCTGCTTCATGTCGTTCTGCATCCTGGAAGGCAAAGCACCGCAGGTGAGGGGGCAGCCGGTACCCCACTGTCCCCTGCAGCACCGGGACCCCAGCACAGGACAGTGGTGTTGTGTTGCCCATTTACAAAGGGCCAAGAAAGTTGCCTTCAGTCCCACTCCCTGTGAGGGTCATACACGGCTGGGTGCTGTCACCAAAAGGCAGAACAGCTCTGGCCATCCTGGGCATAGAGCTCCCGGCCCACTGACCACAGGGCAGGCTGGCCAGGAGGGATGTCAGGAGAACCCCAGCACAGCCACCACCCCAAATGCCATCATGCACAGGGGGCCAAAAGCCCCGGTCATACAGACAGAACTGACCTGACGTTCACCATGTCTGCCGGGGTTCCCACAAACCCGCCAGTGAAACCTGCGGCCAAACAAGAGCTGGGTCAGGGCCTATCCATCCTGAGGGAGCCAGGGCCAAGGGCCCCAGTGCCTGGCTCACCTCCTACTGCAGCCAAGAGCACTTTCTGGTAGAAGGGGGGAGGCCCCTGGTTGCTCATGCGGTTCTTTGCGGTCTCATAGATGCCAAAGCGAGTCAAGGAATACGTCATCTGGATGGGGGAAAGGAGCGGCTGTGTGTGGCACAGGGCAGCTCCCCATGCAGCAGGTGCCGCAGGAGCTCCGCGCACTCACCTGCCGGCACAGCGAGGCGCTCAGCCCGTTGTAGAGCGCCAGGAAGCCGTCGGTGCGGATCACGTGCATCGCCATCCCCGTCATCCTCATCTTCACCTCCTGCTGCGTCTGCAGGTGCACCTGGGGCAGAGCGCAGCGCGTCAGCCCAGCGGGGCTGGGCAGGGACAGAGGGGCACGAACAGGTGGGGATTGGAGCTGTGTCAGGTTAGCAGCACTGGCACAGGAGCCAACTGCAAGACACAGACAGCCTGGAGCAGGCTGGCCCAGCCTGGCAGCGGAGGGGTGGAGGCAGAGAGGGAGGGAGGGAAGGAGGGAGGAAGGAGTGCCGAGGCTCCTGCCTGCAGCACCTCCCAGGCCCTGCCCTCACAGCCGCCCAAGGTGAAGGGGGGCACCTGCCCTTCTGGGCCACCTCAGGGTGGAAGGTGTGGGAGTGTGGGTGTGTGCCCAGCAGTACGTGAGTGAGCAAGGGCCCTGTGTGGGTTTGCTCAAGGGGATGCACTGGGCTGGTGAAATCACGGCCATGCAATGCAGCAGGCCTCCAGAGCCACTTCCCCTCCTCCTCAGTGCAGGAATCACACAGGCAGGAAGAGAACCCCACAGCTGGCCAGGCGCTCCCCTTCCTGCCTGCAGCAGCCCAACGCTTCCCACCATCTCCAGGGAGCTGGCTGGGACAGGGGAGCCATGTGGGCTGATGCTGGAGCATGCTCTGAGCACTGCAGAGACCACATGTGGGTCAAAGGCCCCAGGAGATAAGGAGAGCAAAGGGCTGCTGACAGGGGATCAGGCCACTACGGAAGCTGTGGCACGGCTGGGTCGTGCGACACTCTGCAGGATGTTGGGAACAGCCACTGTCTCCCATATGGAGCAACAGCAGGGGTGCAGGGGCCTGCCTGCAATTCCCACAGGTGGATTTTGGACGTCAGGGACCAGAGCTTGCGGGTGCTCACAGCCTGGGGCAGCTGAAGCGGGCAGGGTCATGTAGGGACACGGTCCACTGCCTGCAGTCTGCAGGAAGGGCAGGCAGGCATGGGACAGGCTGGCCAGGCGATGGTCACTGCAGGGCCAGCAGGCCGTGGGCAGCCAGCAGCTGCACAGTTGGCCTAAGGGCACAAGCACTCTGTAGGTGAGCTGGCCAGGGCCTCTCACTGGGGCCAAAGTCCAGAGGTGCAATGAAGTGCCCTTCGTCCCCTGCCCTGCCAGAGCCTGAGGCCCCTCATGCCTCCCCAGGCCTGGCACCAGCCTCTGCTGTGGGGGAACACATGGCCAAAGAAGGGTCTGTATTCAATAATCAGTGTGATTATTGATCTGGCAAAAACAGCTGGCCAGGCTGTGCTGCTCACACTGCAGGAATGAAGGGGCCGCTCATCCACACAGGACAGCATGGGGATGCAGCCCAAACGTCACAGCCATCACGCTGGCTCAGAGACAGACCTAGAGGCAGGTGCCAGACTAATTCCCTTTCTTAGCGCCTTGCCAGGCACCCCACACAAGCTCCCACGGGCTGGCAGCCACCTCCACTGGGCAGACAGGGCCAGCTGGGCAAGGCAACAGGCCGAGCACTGGGGAGGCGGCACTGCCCTGCCAGGGCTGGCTCCTCTCCTGGGCCTGTGCCTGGAACATCTTCCTCTCTCCCCATGGGGTGGGAAGGGGCCGTGTGTCCCAGCCTCACCCACAGGCATTGCCCTGGGAAGGGCAGGCTCTGTCCTGGGCTGCCTCCTCCCTCCCCCTCGCAGCCTGCTCCGCTGCCAGGCTCGTCGCCGCTTGGCTGGCACACAAGGCTCTGGGCAGCGCTGGCATTTGCCCCGTGTGTGGGTGCTGGCAGCGCAGGGCTGCGCGCGGCGCCCTTTGTGCAGCAGCAGGCATGCCAGGTCATCTGCGGCGCCTAGGTGACATCTTGGCTGAGGACTCCCAGCCCAGTGGGCCAGCGTCCAGCACCGCCGGCCCCGGAGTCACTGCCGTGTCCAGGCACGGCTGCCCAAGGCACCCTCCGCAGCTCCTGGAGCTGGCACCCCAAGCTCCCCTCAGCCACACACCCACCCATGCCCTCGTGCTGGGTCTTTGAGACCCCTCAGCCGTGTTCCTGCAGCCAAGAGTCAGCTCCAGAACAGCAGCTGTTTCCCCAGACCTCTACAGCTGTTCTCCAGCTCCCTCCGTTGCTCTGGGACCCTCACAGCCATTCCCTATCCCTTCATAACCCTTCCAGAACCCCCAGGCCTGCTTCCCAGAACCCCAGAGCAGCTCCCCGTCCCCTCGAAGTTGCTCTGGGACCCTCACAGCCACCCTCTCTCCCCCTCTGGCAGCCGTTCCCCAGTAGCTCAGAGCCAGTCCTTCAGCTGCTCCGGGATCCTCAGAGCAGCTCCTCATCCCCCCACAGCCACTCCGGGACTCTCTCAGTCACTCCGAGTCCCCCCAAGCCATTCCGCATCCCCTCAGAGTTGCTCTGGGACCCTCACAGCTGCACCCCCGCAGCCAGGTCCCTCAGAACCGGTCCCGCAGCTGCTCCGGGACCCTCACACCCGCTCCCCGTCCCGTCCCGGCTGCTGCCCCCGCTGCAGCCCAGTCCCCTACGGCCGCTCCCGGGACCCTCGGACCTATTCCCCGCTCCGTCGCAGACTCTTCAGAACCCCTGCAGCCAGTCCCAACTCCCCCAGCCTCCACCCCACCCTCGCCGGCACCCTCACAACCACTACCAGTCCCCCTTAACTGTCCCCCCAAGCCCTCACCGACACCTGTCCCCATAACCGTCCCCTCACACCACCCGCCCCCATAACCGCCTCGCCATCCCCTCAGAGCCCCCCAGAGCACCGCAGCCATTCCCAGCCTCTCGCACTCGCCCTCCCTGCCCCCCGACGGGCTCCCCGCGCCGCCGGGGCCGCCCCGGGCCGTGTCCCCCCTCACCTTCAGCAGATCCAGGGGGTGCGTGCAGCAGGCGGCCCCGGACGACGCGAGGCCGCCGAAGTACCAGCGCGAAACGCGCTGCTCCGCCATGGGCGCCGCTGCTGCCACAAGCCACGCCCTCACCGGGACCAGGCCACGCCCCCTTCCGTTAAGCCACGCCCTCTCCCGGTACCGGAAGGGGGTGGGGCGGGCCCGGGGCTCGCATCCCCCACCTACGGCGAACGCGGCAGCCGCAGGCTCCGGAATCCTCGCTCCCACCCCGCACGCATCCCCATTTCCAGCGCGGGGAAGGCCCTTCCCGTCCATAATTAAGGGATTAATTAATGGGGAGCTGAAGCCATCAGCCAAGGGCAGCGAGAAGAGGTGCGGGAGGCACAGGTACACACGGCAGCGTTCCAGCGTGCACACACTAAGCGCAGGGACAATCACAGCTCCAGAATACACCCTCCCACCCCGCACGCATCTCCACAACCTGTGGAAGTGTGTTCTTCTCGTAAATAACTAACAGAGAAGTGAGACATCAGCAAGAGGCAGTGTGAGGAGGTGGGTGATGCGCTGGTACAAACTTCCAGTACCTTAAGGGAGCCTACAAGAAAGATGGAGAGAGACTTTTCACAAGAGCATGTAGTGACAGGACAAGGGGAAACGGCTTCAAACTCAGAGTAGGTTTAGATTAGGTATTAGGAAGAAATTATTGGCTGTGAGGGTGGTGAGGCCCTGGCACAGGCTGCTGTCCAGAGAAGCTGTGGCTGCCCCAGCCCTGGAAGTGTTCAAGGCCAGGCTGGACGGGGCTTGGAGCAACCTCGCCTGGTGGAAGCTGTTCCTGCCCATAGCAGGGGGCTGGAATGAGATGATCTCTCAAGGTCACTTCCACCCTAAACCATTCTGATTCCATGACATGGGGAGCACGGGGATAATCGACACCTGAGAAAGATGAACCATTGTACAGGTTTTTTGGGTATTTATAAGGTAGAGTTCATGGTGATGGCAGGAGTAGCAGCTCTGCCCAACCGTACAGCATTCTCTGGGACAGTGCTCCCACTGTGCACTTGGAAAGGTCCAGAGCCCGGCCTGGGCAGCAGCTGCAGCACCAGTCCCTCCACGGTGAGGCTACTCCAGAACAACAGTCCCTCCTGCTGCCTCCAGCGCTGCTTTGATCTTCTCTGCTTCCTCCTTGGAGGCGTTGGCCTTGATCTCCTGCGGAAGGGACTCCACCAGCTTCTTCGCCTGTGAGAGGGACAAAGTACAGGGCTTGTAAACAGGCTTTCACTAACTGGATTATTTGATTTAGAGCCATGATCCTGACCTCTGCTTAAGGAACCGTGGAAACTCGCTGACCAGCACAAACCCTGAGACTTGGACTTGAACTGTGGCACATCCCACCAGAAGCAGCTAACCCTGGCTGCTAGTGATGACACAGCTGCTGGGAACCCTTTCCTCAAATTCTTCCACAGGTGCTCCTGGCGTGCACGCCAGCCTGCAGAGGAGTGGGTGCAGGCAGAGCCCCTGCAGTGCCCTGCTGGGGCAGCATCCGCCGGGCTGGCTCTGCTCATGGCCATGTTTTGGTTCACATACTTGTGCCAGCAGGAGGGGAGGCCACTGCAGGGAGTGGACACAGCTGCACTGGCTGAAACACAGCTCCAGCACAGACTACTCGACAACACGGTATTTTGACATTTCAGGGACTTTTAAAGCAAAACTACTGGTACTAAGCAGCACTGCAATGCTTAAGGCAAGCTGAAAAACTGTTGAGCTAATTTAAAGAATTTACTGCAGTGCTGTTATAGAGAAGGAAGTGAGCCCAGGGGGACAAGCCCCTGCTGCTCTTACACACAGCAGCTCTCTGCCACAGCACTGCAGGGGTGTAGCACCCACTGGACTGGCCACTGTGCTGGCAGGAAGGCTTTGTCCCTTTAATTCCTGATGGGTTCAATGCCTCTGTATCTGTGGTGGAAGAAAAATGCTTTTTTTGCTGGGGTTGGAAGGCACAGATGTGTGAGCAGTGGGCTGGTGGGGCAGGAATGCCTTTGCTCACCAGGACAGGATTTGGACAGGAGCCTGCACAGGCTCACTGTGATGAGCACAGGCAACACAGCACAGGTTATTAATTTCTGAACTCTGCTCAGGAAGGCGTGACTCCATTCTAAAGCAGCCCTGGTCCAGAGAGGCAGCTGCTCCTGGTGTTCAGTGGGAAGAAGAGCAGAGCCCAAGCCAAGTGGGATCCGTGCAGCAGCAGCAGCAGCAATGGGGCAGAGGCAGCAGGCTCCCAGTGCAGCCAGAGCCCAGGGCTGGTGGTGACAGGGTGAGCATCTGCTGGGCAGCTCCCAATGAGCTTTCTGGGGTGCAGCCAGCTGTGGTCCCGTGTGTGCTGGTCACACACCCATCTCATCAGGCAGTTGTTGCCACAGGACTGATGTTTGGGTCCCAGCAGTGCCCAAGGTAATCACTGCATGTGCTTCCCTCCACACCACCAGCAGCCCTACAAGCCATGGGCAGATCCACCCACAAACCTCGTAAAAACCACCTTGACTGGATGGCAGCAAAATTTGCAATAAAAGGGATTTGGCTCCACTTTGAACAGAGTCTCTGCAGGCAGAACCTCCACAGCTGTTTGTGTTGTGTGTGTGCTTCACCAAAGTCCTGGGCCTGGGTACACCACACTTGAGTTTAGCTGCAATAACTGCCAGCACCTCACTAGCTCATGCAGCAGGTGCCACATGCAAAGCCAAGCTCACTGGGCATCAGCTCTCCAGTTAATTATCTACTGATTGTGTCCATTACAGGGTTTGGCATTTTCATGTTTACTTGGGACCAATAAGAGATGAACAACTTCCAGAGGAACCACACTGACAGTCAGGAAATTATCCCCATGAGACAGCCAAACTTGTCCCTGTGCCACTGACTCTCTGCTGGCCTTGCAATGCAGCAATAAGAATTGGGGGTCAAAAGATTATCTGCAAACACTTCTGCTCTCCTGGGCTACAGCAGGAGCAGACATTGCAATACTCAATGCTGCAGCTGGAATACTGGGAAGTGCTACTATTGACCCCAAGATATGAAAGCACCACCCTGGAGATGTGCAGCACATTGCATGCTTCAGCAGTAGCAGCTTCATCACCCAACATGCTGAGCCCACATCCAAGGTCAAGGGCCTGAGCTCAGACACTGCCCAGGGCTGAGGCCCAACTCCTCCAAGGAAAGAAGCAGCACCACCTATAAAATGAAGGGCCCTGAAAAGAGCTGGAAGCCTGGACTGCAAGATGTGTGAGTTACAGAGGCTCATTTAACTTCAGAAATACACTGACTTTGGGAAAGGCAAGCCAAACCCAGCTGTAGCAAGGGATGCTGGCCATTCCTGAGCTCTGCAGAAAAGCTCATGCACGGCAGCTCTCAGGTTTGGAGAAGCTGAGGCTGGCACAGACATCTCTGAGTCCTTTGCTCTGAGCCTCCTCCTTCATCTCCCTGCTTCTGACAACAGAAAACGCCAGATGAAGGCGCAACCAAAAGCTGCTCCCCACGTCTCCCTGCACTGAGACACACACAGGCAGGCTGTGCTTCTGAATGCACACATCCAGGCTCCCCTTCGAGCAGAGAGCCGAGGCTGCTGGACCTGGGGGCAAAACCCCAGAGCCCGGGGCAGCACCTCCTCACCTGCACCAGGTTCACTCCGGGCACGAAGTTCTTCACCTCCTTGATCAGCTTCACCTTGTCAGCGGCCTTCAGCTCCGTCAGCCGGACGGTGAAATGAGTTTTCTCCTTCTTGAGTGGGACCACCTCCTCCTCCTGGAAGCAGCCGGAGTGCGGTGAAGCCCCGCGGCCAAGCCCGCCGGCCGAGCCCGCCCCGCGGCCCCGCTCCCGCCCCTCCCGGTACCTGCGGAGCCGCCTGGGCGGGCAGCAGGGAGGCGGCGGCGGCCGCGGGCATCACCCCCACGTCCGGGATCTTCAGCGTCTCCTGCGGGAAGAGAGAGCGGCGGCACCAGCGGCCGGTCAGGCGGCGCACGCGGCCGGGCCGGGCCGAGCCGGGTCAGGCCGGGCCGAGCCGGGCCGGGCCCCGCACCCACCTTGAGCAACGCGTTGAGATCGGCCACCTCGAGCAGCGTCAGCCCCGCGATGTCCCGCACCAGCTGCCGCACCTTGGGCGAGTATTCCTTGGCGGCCGTGTCCAGCGGCGCCCCGGCCAGCGCCTCCGAGCGCCGCGCGGGGCCGGTGCCGAGCGCCCGCAGCCCGGCGGGGGCCCCGCGGCGCGGCGGCAGCGGCCGGAGCGGCAGAGGGAGCAGCGGCGGCAGCGGGAGCAGCGCCCGGCGGGCGGCGGGCAGCGCGGCGGGCAGCATGGCGGCCCGAGGACACCGAGCGCTCCGCCCCGCCCGCGCTCCCGGCGGGACCCGCGCGCCGCTCCCAGCCAATAGCGACACAGGGCGAGCGCAGCGGTGCGCCATGGGACATGTAGGCCAAAGCGGGCCGATGGGAAAGCGACAGCCACCGTGAAAAATCCATTACTATTTATCATTTCTAAACGGGATAGAAAAAATGCCATGTCTGAAGGAACAGAAATTTCTTCCTCTCTGGAATGTTTGGAAGGAGAATTGGTTATATTTCTATACTGAACAGCATGGTTAACGGTAAAATTGAAGCATAATTAATGCAAATTAAAATAAACAAAAATAAGTCAGAAAGCATTGTCATTTTACCTTTTTGACTTTCATTAATTGCAGTAACACATTCTAATGCTCCATAAAGCTTAATAATTTAGGACTACGCATCTACAGCACAGATACATTCTAGACACTGTAGGGAGGAAATTTCAGTGGCCAGAGCTCAATTTGAGCTGCAGCTGGCCAGTGCTGCGGGTCTCTCAGTGCTGACGGAGCTCCCCCGGAGCTGCTGCCCCCGGAGCTGCTGCCAGCCCTTGGCGAACACTGCCCCGTTCGTTCACGGGGGGATGCCCAGCACAGGAGCCGCGGTTCGTTCCAACACTTTATTGTCACCGGTAGCGCTCGGTCTCCGCCGGGACGGGCGGGACGGGACAGGCCGGGCCAGCGCGGGGCGCGGGCCCTGAGGGCGCTGCGGGGAGCGGGGTGCGGCGGGGACGGGGCAGGGCTGGAGGCTGCGCCCCTGGGGCCGTGCCACAGCCCCGGGACAAGGACAGGGCAGGCCGAGCTCCCGCCCGGCCCCGGGGCCGCCGCTGCCGGGGGCGGGTGGGTGAGCCGGGGCTGCTGCCCCCCTGCCCCTTGGTCCCCAAAGCTGGCAGCAGGAGCCTCGGGCCCCACCGCCCCTGGGACACGGGGCCGGGGGCAGCGCGAGTAGTCGAAGTACAGAGTGATTTCGGATGAAGAGTAGTGTTACACCGGAGCCCTGTGGCCGCCGTCAGTCAAACGAGATGAGCTGGGCCTCCCCGCTGCCCGGGGGCTGCTGCCCGGGGGCAGGTGCTGCTGGGGGCTGCTGCTGGGGGGGCCCCCCAGCTGGGGCCACCTGCAGCAGAGGAAACACCTTCGTTAGTGGGTGCCTTCCTTAGCACACGTGCCCCACAGGGTCCTGACCGCCCGGGCTGGTGGCACTCACCTGTTGATAGAGGGGCTGCTGCCCGGGCAGGTAGGACTGCTGGGCTGGCAGGCTGCTCAGAGCTGTGTCCTGGCCTGGCAGGGCAGACATAAGACCCTATGGGAACGAGGGGGTGGCTGTCAGAGGGGCTCGGGTCCATGCAGCACCCACAGGGCAGTGGTGGGTGATCCCCCCCAGGATGGGTCCATGGGCTGGAGCCCAGCCATGCCATGCCCAAGCAGGGAGCGCTCACCTGCATGCTGTAGGGCTGGTAGCCCATGGAGACAGACTGGCTGCCCATGTAGCCCATGGTGCCCGACTGGGGTGCCTGGGAGATGGCTGGGATGCTCTGTGACTGTGAGGCTGCAGTCTGTGGGGAGAGGCTGGTGAGAGGTGGCACAAACAATGGCTCACTTCTCCCAACAAGGCCCTTGAGCCCAGAACTGGAAGTAACTCCAGCCCACTTCCACAGCAAGAGTAGCAGATCTGGAGATCTGGAACCAACCAGCCCATCCTCCCTCCTGCTCAGAGATCTCATTGCTGATTTTGGGTACGTTGCCCAGCCCCACAGAACCCCCCAGCCCCTGGCCCAGCTGGCTGCAGGCTGCACTGCCTCACTTGCCTGGTAGCCCTGTGTGGGTGTGGGCTGGTAGGATGAATATGCAGGGGTGGTGGTGGGCACCGCCGGCCCCTGCTGAGGCCCCTGCCCGCTGCTGGCACCCGCCTGGTACATGTAGGCATTCACCATGCTGGGATCTGGGTGGAGAGAGCAGAGGATGGAGCAACCGCCTTGGGCTCTCCCCTACCCCCAGAGGCTGAGCTGCCTGACATACCAGTGCCGGGCATGGCAGCGTAGGGCCCAGTTCCCCCTTGTGCAGCCTGGTTCATGTACACGCTGTGCATGGGAGAGCCCTCCACGGAGCCAGCTGGGCTGAACGTGCCAGGGAAGCTGGTGGGCCCAGAGGGCTGGTAGATCACCCCACTGGCTGCAGGCATGGCCTGGAGCTGGTGGGAGAAGGAAAGCCAGTTAAAGCTGCAGTCCCTGGAACCTGGCAGGGGGAGCCTAGCCCGGCAGCTGTACCTGAGCATAAGGCAGTGAGAAAGCTGGCATCTGGGCTCTCATCTGGATGGTCTGCTTCTGCTGCTCCAGGCGCAGCTGCCTCTCCTTCTCCTGCTCCTGCAGCCTCTGGATGGCCAGCTGACGCTGCATCTCCAGGTACTCCTGTGGAACAGGGCTGGGTGGCTGGGAGCCACCACACCACACCACACACCCCTGCCACCAGGGCAGCCATCCCTGCCCACCCTGGGCTGCCCTGCAATACCCCGGTCGTGCTTCCCTGCCTCACCTGCTTCTTCTGCCTCATGATCTCCAGCTTCTGTGCCAGCTGGATCTGGCGCTGCCGCTCTGCCTCCTCCGCTGCACGGCGCAGCTTCTCCTGGTGCTCCTCCCGCAGCGCATTCAGGGCCCCGCGCGCGTCCCGGATCTGGGCCAGCTTGTCCTGCAGGCCCTCATAGTACACTGGGGAGGGAAGGGACAGCCTCAGGAACAGGGGACGGAGCACCTGAACTGCCCCTGCCCTGCACAGCAGCCTCTCTCCAGTGAGCCTGTGCCACGGGAGGGCGGAGCCCTGACAGTGGGGAAGCCCCGGCTGCCGCCCGCCCACGCCCAGGCCCGCAGCTCCCCCAGCTCCCACGCACGCCTGCGCTCATCCAGCTGGTTGAGCAGCTCCAGCAGCTGCGGGTGCATGTTGTTGATGGACTGGAAGAGGGACAACACGGCAGAGTCGTTGGTGATGCTGCGGCCTCGCATGTGGTTGCTCTTCATGCGGTTGACGAACGTGGTGACCGCGTTCTGCAGTGCCTTCAGGAACTGCTCGTGGTTCTCCTCGGACTCACCGTTCTGGTACTGCTGCTGGAAGGAAGGAAGGGGCAGCCAGTCAGCTGTGGCCTCCCAGTGCCAAGAGCCAGCAGAGCCCAAGAGTCGGGTGCTTCTTGCCCCTCGGTGGCTGCCAGACGCAGGCCCAGGCCCCCCCTTACCTCAACCACCCCAAGAGGGGCAGGGTGGGCTTCCCCAGGCTGCACAGCTGGCTCTGTCAGGGACAGGGGTGCTGACGGTGTGGGGCTCTTGCGAACCTCCTCCTGCTTCTTCTCCCAGTAGTTGCGGTTCAGGTACCGAGCCAGCTGCCAGGAAGAGAAGGAAGATGAGCATCACTGCCTCGCAGGAGCAAGCCTGTGCTGCAGACTAGCAGGGCCAGGGTCCTTACCTCTGGGTCAATGTCCTCAGCCAAGGGAGCAGAGGAATTCTGGAACGAGACAAATGAGAAAGGCAGTTCAGCAAAACCAGAGATCCCCAGGTCCTACACAGATGTTCAGCTCAGAGCTGGCCATGTAGGACCACCAGTGCTGAGCCTCAAAGGGAACACAAGCTGGGAGGCAGTGGAGGCACCTAAGTCCTGGCTTAGAACACACCTCCTTGCTCAAAACAGTGAACAAGCAAGGGGTTGAACGGGGCAAATATTTTCCCTCAGTATGGGGATTAAACTGGACACAATCAGGGCAGACTTGGGCTCAGGAAGGGGCCCATGTGCAGCCACTTCACGTGCAGGAGCTGCCCTGGACGTACCACGGGTGGGGAGTAGAGTGTGCTGACTGGGGGAGCCGAGGACGTGACAGGAGTGGGCTCAGCCTTGGGGTACATGGAGTACGTTGTTTTCTGCCTCTGCAAAAGAGAAAATTGCCAACTCAGAGAGAGCCCAGGCTTCTCCAAACCAACCACAACACAGCCTGTGCCTGGCACTGCTTTCACCCTCTCACTCCACAGGCTTTGAGCCTTGCTCACACCAGGACATGTCCAGAGATCTGTTATGGCCCAGCACAGCTGGCTTGAAGAGCAACAACCCCTGCCGGACCCCAGCAGCCAACAAACCATTCTCTCCTTCTCCTCAGCCTCTGACTGAGACAAGGCAATAGCCAGCTGGAGCTCCTCTTCCTCTTGCAGAGCTGTCTCATCACGCTTTGGAGGCAGCTGGAAGTGGAAAGGTAGGGAGGTGGTCAGTAATGGGATCAACAAACAGGTCAGGATCACCAGATCACCTATGGGGCAGCTGCTCACCTGGGACTGCTGAGAGAGGGGGCTGGTCAGGTACTCAGGAGGCAGTTCAGAGGTGGAAGCAGCTTTACCCTCAGTTTTCCTGTAGTGACAAGTGATAGTATGGACTGAAAGCTCCCTTCTGTGCACCAGAGCCTAGCTCTGCACCATGTTCCAGCAGCAAACCCCACTCCCAGGAAGGAAGAGGGCCCAGCCCAGCCTGCAGAGCCTGGGAAGCCCCCGTTGTGCTCTGCAGGGAGCTAGTTCCACACCACGCTTCCCCCTCAATGTCCCAGCTGGCTCAGGCAAAGAAACCCACCACGAAGGGTACTGACTTGTTGAGATGCTCATAGCAGGGCTCACAGACTCTCACTTCCTTCTCAATCCCAAACTTGGGGATGGTGGAATACTTGGAGGAGCATTTTCCACAGAAGATCTGCCCGCAGGCCCGGCAGTGGTGCTGTGAAGGGCAGGAGACGTGAGTGTGGTGGCAAGACATTCCTTCTCCTTTAGCCAACATCACTCAGACACTCATTTCCCTGCCAGCAGCCAGGAAACATGCTCTGTCCCCAGCACACTTCACACAGCAAGTCCTGCAGGGAGTCCTGCAAGCCCCAAGGGCTGTGCAGAGCAGGGAGCCCAGGAGCAGCACCCACCTTGCGCGTCACAACGCCAAACTGCACTCGGCACCTGTGACACTCCTCTGCATCCACCCAGTCTGGAGCCTGTAGGGGCCAAGCGAAATGGAGTAAGGAGGGAGGAGTGCATCAGCACCGGCCCTTTCAGGAGCTCTGATGGCAACAGGGCTCTCTCATGTCCCATGGGGGAGACTGGGGGCATCTGCAGCTCAACAGGAAATATTAATCCCCAGTTATCTCCTTCTGTGTTCCTTAGAGACTGTGATGTTTTCCCAGTCAGTACAAGATATACTAGGAAACTGTCTGCACAGCAATCACTTCAGCAATGCCCTGCTGCCACGTCCAGCCTGCCAAGCTGCTGCAAGGCCAGTGAGCAGGAGGAATGATGGGTCTGAGTCCCTGTCCTGGCCAGTTCTCCCAGCAAGGTCTCCAATCCGCACAAAACGGAGGAATGTGAGACCTGCAGGTTTGCAGAAGGGGACGGGAAAGGGATGGGATGTCTGTCCCACAGCTGCTCCCCCCATCACAGAGCTCACCCTCTCTGCAGCAAACATGGCATCGCTCTCCTTGAACTCCGGGAAGACGTGCCCTGCAGGAGGAGAATGGAGAGAAAAGGGAGCCCCGTTGTGAGAGGAATCCTCTGGCACAGGGAGGCCACAGCCCTGCAAGCTCGTGCTACAGGTGCCAGCTAGCACCACCTCCTGTCTTCATCAGCACCTCCCTCTGACACACCAGGAGCAGCTCCCCTCAGCCATGGTCTGAGGACAACCCCCAACTGTTTCCTTTGCACACCCATAAGAGACATCACAGGCCTCTGGATAAGGCTTATTATTTCTCAGTACTTTGAACTGAGGGGCATAAAAAGCCCACTGGATGGGCAGGCAGGGCTGTGAGTTTCAGTCCTTCAAGGGCCAGAGCTTGGCAACACCAGCTCAGGATGCTGGACTGACCCAGCTTGTGCCACTGCCTGCAGAGTTTGTGGTGCACAGAAGGAAGCAGAGGCAGCAGCGTGTCCCTGCCCCAGAAGTGGACACTGCTGTCCTGGGCAGAAAACCACACCAACACTGTGTCAGCAAGTGACACCATGGACCCATGCTGGGAGCAGGAACAAAAGCCTGTGAGGAAGGAACTGCCCCACAGCAAATCCCTCCCAGAGGACACGACGACTTGCTGCCAGTCTCCCCAAGAACAGTTGCAGCTTCTGCTTTTCAGGTCCCCCTGCCAGCCCTGAAGGCTGGGCTGGAGGCCTAGAGCAAGGCTGCCCTGGTCCTATGCCATGTCTGCAGCAGGGTTTGGTCACCCTGAAGGGTTCACTGGGTATTGGGAACCAAGGAAGAGCTCTGTGCTGCAAGTCCAGGTTTTGCTTACACCAGGCACTGAACTGCCAAGGCTCCTGCAGGGCAGAGCTTCTTGACCAGGTGTCCCCTCACCTGTAGCCACAGTCCTCACCTTCAACCTTCATGATCTGATAGGTGTCCTGCACCACCTTGTACTTGGGCTCGTTGCGGAAGGCGTGAGCCCAGGCCTGGATGAGGTACAGGATCTTACTGCGGACACTTGTCTCCACTTGCCTCTGCACAGGAAGGGAGGAGGAAAAACCATGAGAAAATACCCCTGAAACCCAAAGGATGGCGTGAACCCCCTCAAGAGAAGCCAGAAATACCACTCAGGGAAGAGAGACTTTGTAGTCCTCAGGAGAGGTAAGAGCTGTCAGAAACCTGCAGCAAGCACCATGCACAGCACAAACAGCCCCTTCAGCTGCCCCCCTGCCCCTCCAGCACAAAGAACACAATGTCCTTGTGCAGCACAGACTGAACAGAGCTGTGGCCTTGATGCTCGGAGCAAGTGCCCAGCACTCCCTCACCAGAGCCACCATCCCACACTCAGAACTCTGCAGGAGCCCCAGCTGCCCAGGACAGCACAGCCCACCCTGCCTGCCCCTGACAGCGCTGCGGGTGCCTGCACCTCCGCTCCAGGAGAACTCAAAGCCATCTCAGGATGTGACAAAGTGAGGACAGCTGGGACAGCTGCCCTTTGGAGGCAGGGCAACTGCATCACACTTCAGGGAACTGGAGAAAAGTTGGCAAGCCTGTTCTGACCTCAGCCAGCCTCCGGGCCGCCGTGTCATCAGCTGCCCAAGTGATCACATCCACATGACCGGCTCTTCCAGAAATCCCCAGGAAGCACAGCAGCACTGTCAAGCTCTGATTTCAGCCAAGACCTCGGCCCACACAGCATCACTTACTGACAATTCCTGGAGCTCCAACTTCTAGAACATTTGGCAAAATCCTGCGTTCCATACATGTCACAGCCCTGAACCTCATCAGAACTTGGACTGTTTTACCAGAATCGGGTGTTCACAAGCAGCAAAGCTCCAAGTGTAGGAGGAGAATGGGGCAGTTGTGAAACTCCTGAGACAGGCAAGGACTGAGAGAACCACAAAATCCCTGGATCTGATCCGATCTCCTCAGCCCTTGGAGCGGCTGTGCTACCACACCTGGCTGTCAGGCTATGCCAGTGTCCCTGCCTCAGGAGGAGATCCTGCAGGGAGACTGAGTCAGCCCTAACAGGAAGGTGACACAGGACTCACAGAGCTCGTCCTCCAAGGATCTGGGTCACCTGTTTGTTTATTTCTGGTGGAAGACAGAAGTACAATGCTAATGAGCTCTTGCCTGGGCATTGCTGTTCTGAGCTGGGAGCTCGAGAAAGGAGTTCTCATTTCCACTTCACTAAAGGAATTCCCCAGTCCAAGGACACATGAAGCTCCAGCAGGCATCAGACTGGTGACAGCTTGTAACAACAACTTGTCAGTGCCAGCAGCCATGGTCACATCCTGCAGCACTCCCGAACAACTCCAGTGACATGGCCGTGACACACAGGCAGCTCCAGATGGTTTTTCCTTTGTTGCTTTACCTGCCTATATGTCTCACACTGTTCCATGAGAGGGAATTCACCTTCCCACTGCCCAGGTCCTTGGCACAGGTGCCAGGCCATCATCTGTGTTCCTCTCTGCCCCAACCCAAGTGTTGCATCCAGGAGCATTTACCATGGAATGGCCCAGGCCCCCACAGTACATTCCTGCCATTTCACAGCGCAGGCAAACCTCTGCTCCCACCACATCTCCTCTTCCCAGAAGCCATCCTTCACTGCCTACACGCACCCTTTCACACCACACGATAACTTGCTCTTTTCTGAAGTGCATTTCCAGTTTCCCTTCTGCTCCTTACCCAAAGAAGACACAAGAGAGGACACATACATTTCTTCCTGTTGCTGCTGCTTTTCCATAGGAAAGAAGTTGACAGTAAAATAAATCTATTTACCTTGAGTATTTCCTTCAGCTCCTCCATGGTCTGTTTATTGGCCACCTCATCATGGACTGTTTGGCCACAGTTTTTAACCACTGACTCCATGACCTGCAAGGGCCAAGACAACATCAGCCCACAGCTTCCTGCCTCCCCTGCAACTTGTGGGAGTCCCAGCACACACTGCAGGCTGAACAGGGGGTAGTACTTGAGCAGTGAGCTGTGCTGGGGCCATGCCAATCCACTCCCTGCACTGGGAGCCAGCTGCCCTTCACCTCCCTGAGGAGCTGGGGGCCTTCTGCTCTGTGGAACCAATCCCAGGGGGAGCAGCCTAAGCCTCAGCTCTGCCTTTTCTAAAGCCAAGACAGAGCTAAAGCATGAAGGTCCTGGCCTGATCACCCCAAAACCTCAGTGCCAGAGCTGGGAAGAGGCTGGCTCCACGCTGGGCTGCAGGGAGCTGTGCAGCCTGAAGGCAGTAGTGGGAAGCCCCTGCTTGCTCCCAGCCAGGTGCTGTTACCTCCAGCGCGTACAGGGCCACGTGGGGATTCTTGTCATTCACCTTCTTCTTGATGGCGTTGACGGCGTATTTCGCCCTGGGCAGGGGAAGAGAGGACACGTTCTTAGGGAGATCCCACCTGCTGCTGACAGCCCACCAGTCCCCACCGTGACACAGAGGGCAAAGCTAGCTCAGGGGTGTGTGATTCACTGAGTGAAACTGGCAAGGAATAAGCACACTCAAGCTTGAGTTTCCCTAAGGATTTCAGGCCAGGGGTAATCTGCAGCTGCCAGGCTCTGGGAAGCACATCAGGGTGTGCTGTACAGCCCCTCTGACGCTCTCATGGAAGGCTACGATGAGATGTGTGTTACAGGTCCGAGACCCTCGCAGGGTGTCTGTCCTTCCCCGCGCAGCCGGCAGAGCCGTGCCCGCAGCACTTACTGCGTGTCTCCCTGGCGGATCATGTCGCAGATCTGCAGGATGGATTCCCAGTCTGTCTCCAGCAGGAGCTGGCTCGTGGCCTTATCTGCAGTGAACAAAACCCGGTGCCGCCGTGAGCCGCGCTGCTGCCCGCGGCTCGGCTCCGCCGCTGCCGGGAGGCTGCGGGCGTGGCGCTGCCCCGAGGCTCGGGATAAACAAACCCCGATGGCTCCCGGACAGCACCGACCCTCCCGCTTCAGACACCCCGGGCGCTCGGTGACCTCCCGGGCGGCACCGGGCTGCGGCACCGCCACCCGGCTCGGCCCGGCTCGGCCCGGCCCGGCCGTGCCCTGGGCCCGCCCGCTCCCGGGCCCGAGCGCTGCGGACCCCGACCCGCCTCCCGTCCCGTCCCGTCCCGTCCCGTCCCGCCGCCGAGGGAGCCGCGCCGGTACCGAGGAGCCGCTCGAAGGTGCCGCCGCCGCGCCCCATGGTGTCCGCCCGCCGCCGGTCCGGTCCGCTCGCTCCGGCCCGGTCCGGTCCCCGCCCCGCCGCGACCCTTCCGCTTCCGGCTTCCGCCGGGGCGGGGCCGCTTCCGCCGGGGCGGGACCGGTCCGCGGGGCGGCTCCGCCATGGCCGCGGGCCGCTCCCCGCCCACCTTCCTGCTGCTGGGGGCGGCCGGCGGCGGCAAGAGCCTCCTGGTGCGGCGGCTGCGCCATATCCTGGGCACAGGGCACCGGGGAGCCGGGAGGGACGGGCCGGGCCGGGCCGGGCCGGGCCGGGCCGGGCCGGGCCGGGCTGGGCTGGCGGGGCCGGGCGGAGCGCACCCCGGGCCGTTCCCGGAGCCGCCGTGTCCTTAACGCGAGGCACAGCTGAGCGCCGAGGAGCCCGCGGAGCTGGGCGAGCCCCCGGCCACGCTGCCCACGGTAGGTGCGGCCCGGCGGGCCCGGGCGGGCGCGGGGCACGGCCGCAGCCCGCGGTGTCGGTACCGGTGCCCGTCCCGCAGGTGGGCACCAACCTGACGGACCTGCGGCTGCCGCGGAGAGTCACCGTGCGGGAGCTGGGCGGCTGCATGGGCCCCATCTGGCCCAGCTACTACAGCGAGTGCAGCGCTCTCCTGGTGAGCAGCACCGGGGCCGCGGTGCCCGGGTGTTCCCGGGGAGACGGGCTTGTGGGTCGGTGCCCCGGCTTCGCCCCGTGGTGGGATCTCCCTCCCCCGTGCCCTGCTCTGGCCCAGCCCGGCCCGGGTTGCTCCCGGCACACCCGCTCCCTGCTTTCCCTATTCCCTGCAGTTCGTGGTGGACGCCTCCAACCCCACCCAGCTCTCCTCGTCCTGCATCCAGCTGCTCTCGGTCCTCTCCGCAGCGCCGCTCGCCTCCGTGCCCGTCCTGGTGCTCTTCAACAAGATGTGAGGCGGAGGCCACCGGGGGTGCCGGGAGCAGGGCTGTGCTCTGCTGCTCTTCCCGGGCTGGAGAGCCCCGAGCCGGGGCTGGCCCGGGCACGGGAGCCTCGTGCTTGGCTGATGCTGCAGCTCCCGTGTCCCCACTGCAGTGACCTGCCGTGCTACATGTCGCTGGTGGAGATGAAGTCACTGTTCCGCATGCAGGACATGGTGTCCTGTGCCACGCAGCCCATCACCATGCTGGAGACCAGCGCCCGCGACGGCACCGGGCTGGCCGAGGTGCTGCAGTGGCTCCGGAGCGCCCTCCGAGAGCCCTGCTGACCCCAGCCTGCAGCCCAGGACGCTCCTGTCACACAGGGAAATGGCCAAGGAGCAGCTGCCCTGCCTGGGGCTGGGAGCAAGAGCCCAGACAGTGCCTTGGGCTGTTGATGGACTGGATCCCTGTGGGACTTCACAGTAAAACTCCCACCACACTGTCCAGGCTGGTGGCTGCCTTGTGCTCAGGGGGAAATCCTGGGCTTTTAGAGAAGGGACAGGCAGAAGCCACAGAGGCCAGACTGTGCTGGCAGCTCCGGGCACAGGAGGGGTTCCTGCAGCGGGGTTGGGGGCTGCAGCCGCAGCTGGGCTGAGCTAAGCACGGCAGGGGTGGGTAAGGGCCCTGGGTTTAGGACTGAGTGCACGGGGAGCTCCTGCCAGCAGCTCTGGCCATGTGAGCCTCATGCCAGCCCAGGCACAGTGGGGGCACCCTGGGGAAGGACTGGATGACCTGGTGGGTGTCAGGAGCTAGGGCAAGGCCAGTGATGGGGGTGCTTCAGTGGGCATGTCTCACAACCTGCAGCAAGTGCCAGCCCACAGCTGCTCTCCAGCACTCACCTGGGCTCAGGCAATTTCAGAGCGGGTCACACTGGAAGGGACCACGCTGGCTCATCTGGTCAAACAGGGTCATCCCAGAGGACATGGCACAGGATTGCATCCAGGCAGTTCTGGACTACCTCCAGTGAGGATGGCACCACACCCTCTCTGGGCAATCTGTCCCAGTGTGCTGTCACTGGCACAGGGAAGTTCCAACAGAGTATCACAGAATATTGGAGGGGACCCATCAAGATCATATTCAGGTGGAACTTCCTGTGCATCACTTTCTGCCTGTTACTTCTTGTCCCATTGCTGGGCACTGTGGAGCAGAGCCTGGGCCACCCCCTGACACCTCCCTGCTGACAGATGAGGTCCCCTGTCAGTTGTCTCTCCTCAAGGCTGATCAGGCCCAGTGAGAGAGGTGCTTCAGTCCCTTCATTGTCTCTGGAGCCTCTGCTGGACCTGCTCCAGGAGTTCATGGCCCTCATGTCCTGAGGAGCCCTGAGCTGGACACAGCACTCCAGCTGCAGCCTCACCAGGCTGAGCAGAGGGGCAGGATCATTGTGAGCAATGCTTTTCCTGATGCACCCAGGAAGAGCTGGGGCTGTGTAGAGGACCTGCCCTGTGCCCACACCACTAAGCACTGTCTATCCATGCTGATAACACCCTGTGCCCTCGCTGGTGGCTCAGCCCAGCTGGGCAGAGGGACTGGTGGCTGCCCGTGCCTGGCACGTGGCACAGCACAGCCTGCCCTGGGCCTGTCAGCGCTGTGGCACCGGGACAGCTCCATCCCAGGGCCTGCCAACAGCACCACGTGTCAGGGAGTGGCTCCTGGGGCCGGGGGCTGCAGCTGCTGCACCGTGATGGGGAGTGGCAAGGGGGTGGCAGTGCCCCCAGCTCCAGCAGTGTGGAGTGCTTTCCCAAGGGAAAGCAGGCTGTGCCAAGGAGCCTGAGCACAGCCTGACACTGCTGCTGAGTCACCACCACCAACAGCACTGACACCAACCCTGCCTGCTTCCAGCCCAACACGTCCAGACACCAGCCCGAGCACTCCTGCACAGCAGCACTTTAATTGGGCCCTCGGAGGCCCTGCCCAGCCCAGCACTCAGCAGCACGGTCGGTGATTCCTCCAAATCCATCCCACCAGGCAGTGCCAGGGGTGAGCCAGGCACTGGGCTGGAGCTGGCTCCGTGCCTGCTGCCCCTAGGCAGGTGAAGGTGGTTGTAGAGAAGGCTCCATGGTCCCCAAAGGATTCTGAGAACAGCCCAGGGCACACTGGCAGGAGGGAGAGCTGAAGGGCTGTTCTCTGCAAGTAGTGAGCCCCACGCAGCAGGGTCGTGAGGGGAGGCAGTCCTGCATGGAACTGTGTCCTGGGGTTATAGGCAGGCTGGGTCCCGTGCCTGCTGCATCCCAGCAGCTCCAGGCAGCAGGAGCACCTGCATCCCTGGGATGCAGCACTCCCAATGGGTCCTTGGCCATGCAAGAGGAGGATCTTCCCCAGCACTCCATGGTCCCCCAGCTTCCAGCACTGTGTTGTGATGCACAGATTCAGTCCCAGCTGCAAGCAGAGTCTGTTCCATCCCATTCCTTCCCGTGGAGCTTCACACCAAGAGGACAGAGTCCCTAAGATCCTGGGTCCTTGTCCCAGACCTGCCTCCATCCTGTTTCCTGTCCCTGGGCCTCAGTAACACCAAGGACCGTGCATCCCTTGGGACAGGCAGAGGAGTGTGTGTGAGCTGAGCTCTGGGTGCCTGGCAGCCCCTCCCCACTGCCCTCGCGCCGGCCTCACCTGGCACTCAGGAACGCCTGCCTCTCTGCTCGTACACGGAGCGCAGCTTCTGCATGAGAAACAGCTTATCCTCCCCTTCCTGCAACATCAGAGACAGCACTGCGGGGGCTGAGTGCCTGCCCTGCTGGGGCCACAGCCCACCCTGGCAGCCCTGGGGCTGCAGCAGGCTGTGAAGCAGTGGGAACGGGCAGGGGCAGTGCTCACATTGGCAATCTGCTCCTGGAGCAGGCAGATGACCCTCTGGCGGCCTCTCACCACCTGGATGTTGAAGTAGATCACAGCTCTGTAATGACAGCAGGGCGGGATGGTGGCATCAGGCAGGAAGATGAGGGACACTGCTCCTGGCACTGGGATGGGGCACAGGGCTCTGGAGTGACACCTTGGCTCCCAGCCCGCTCAGGGCTGTGACAGCAGGACCCTCAAAGGGAGAGCCTGGGCTTTGGGCTCGGGTCCATACTCACATCAGGGCCACAGACAGGAAGAACAGGAGGCATGTGTTCTCCAACAGGTGCTGGTAGACCCAGGCAAACCAGGTGATGTTGGGGTTGGACTTCTCCAGCACTAGCACCCACCTCTTCCCTGACTCGTAGATGGTTTCCAGCCCCCGGAAGGGACCGCAGGTTTCTGATGGCTGCATCCTGAGCAAACACACCAACAGGGCATTCAGAGCAACTGTAACTGTTAAAGCAACTGCTGGCCCCAGAGCAGGGCACTGCCTGTCTCAGGGGTCCAGCCCTCCAGGGACCCAGCCCCACTGTCCCCAGCAGCCCCAGGGCTGGACAAGGGAGTCCTCATCCCTGCCCCCTGCACCAGGAGCAGCTGCAGGATGTGAGCAGGGCCAGCAGCAGGGAGGGAGGCACCTCCCCTGCCTGGGGCAGCCCCTCACAGCCTGCAGCTGGGGATGCCAGGGACAGGGGCCATGCTCTCCCCAGCCCCTCCTCCCCCAGGCAGCCGGGGCCCTGTGCCCTGAGCCGTGGCCTGGTGGGTACTCACGACCAGATGGTGTAGGAGAGGAAGGCAGCTGCACCCAAGAAGGAGGGGAAGCACAGCAGAGTGATGAACACGGTGCTCATGCGTGAGGCCTGCCAGGGCTTGCTGGGGGACTGGCAGTTCCGCAGCAGGCTGGTCTGTGGGGAGGGAGCAGTGTCCCGTGGCTGCCAGTCCCTGCTGTCCCCTCCCTGCTGCCCACGGGGAGCCAGCACAGTGAGCTCGGGGCCGTGCTGTCCCCAGGGGCTGTGCTAAGCCCCACAGGGACAAGGCTGCTCCGTGTGGCACCACTGCTGCAGCACAGGCTGACAGGGCACAGTGCCACCCCAGTTCCACCCCACGGGGAGTTTCAGGGGTGGGGGAATCACACCTTTTTGATATAGAACAACAGCAGCAGCTTCAGCATCTGCACAGCTGGCAGGAGTGGAGCGAAGAGAACACCCAGCCTGGGAGCAGGGGAAAGATGAGCTTGCCTGGGTCTGAGCCCCAGGGGACACAGTGCTGGGCACAGCCACAGCACCCACAGGGCTCCTGGGGACCACAAGGCATTTGCCAGCAGAGGAAGGAGTCACACCAGGCAGAAACATCTCACCAGATCAGGGTCTGCCCATAGATCAGCTCCAGCACATTTCGGGCGATGTCAAACTCCGGCCTCTGCTTTGTCTTCAGCCTCTTCTCCAGAATCAGCCTGGGTGGAAATGAACTCTGCCCCACGCTGCCTGGGGGCACTTCACACCCCACCATCCCCCTCTGATGGCAGCAGAGCCTGGGTGCACCAGAGAGCTGGGGCCACGCAGGGATGGCACACATGTCTTGGGGTACGTCACCTCCAGATCAGCTCCCCAAAGAGCGTGTCCAGCAGGGTGAATATGAAATCCATCACCGTGAAGCGATACAGCTCCTGCCCCACACACGTCTCCCAGCACTGGGGAGACAATCAAGCATGGCATAGAATCACAGACTGGTTTGGCTTGGGAGGATCCCTAAAGCTCATCTCTCTCCCCACCCTACCATGGGCAGAGACACCCTTCCACTAGACCAGATTGCTCTGAGTCCTGTCCAACCAGGCCTTTTACAGTTCCTGGCATGGGGCACCCACAGCTTCTCTGGGAACCTATGCCAGAGCCTCACCACCCTCACAGGGAAGAATTTCTTCCTGATATCTGATAGGGAAGATGCCACCAGCTCCTTGCATAACCCAATGCTCAGCCCAGCCCTCCCTGGCCCTGAGGCAGTGGTGCTCACCTCCTCTGTTGAGCAGATGACGCTCCGGCTGAGCCAGTGGTAGCACAGCAGGCTGAGAATCACTGTCTTCAGGATGAGGTTCCTGGGGAGCAGTGCCAGAAGTCCCTGAGCCCGGGGGATGGAGGGGCCAAGCCCCACAGATGGGGTGCCTGGCCCCAAAGCCTCCTTGCCTGCCTCAGGTGCAGAACGCTCCCTCCACCACAGCCCAGCCAGCCCACCTGAAGATGGCCACGGAGACCTGTGTCACTGGGGAGTCCTGCTTCTCCCACATCGCCAGCAAGTTGAACAGGTGGGGCATCAAGGCATTGAGGAAGGACACCACAAGGGGCAGGACCAGCAGAATGGCTTCTTGCTGCCATCTGCCACTGCCCTGTGCTTGCTGCTCCTGCTGAACCTGGTGAGCAGGTACTGGCTGAGTGCACAGCTGTTGGCAGCCAGCTGTGGTGTCCTTGGGGAGAGCAGCAGATGCCCAGGCCAGGGGCAGAGCGGCAATGGGGCTGTCCCTGCCTCTCTGCCCAGTAGCCCAGCCCTGTCCCTCCAAGCCCAGGGCAGGGGATCCCGGGGTGAGAGGCGGCACTCACCGTGTGCATGTGCTCCAAGAGGTAGTGCACAGCCAGCACGCAGCCCGACACCCAGCCCAGGGCCAGCAGCCAGGCCAGCAGCACCACCAGGCCGTGCCCCAGGCGCTGGCACCGGCTCTGGGAGCGGGAGCGGGAGCGCCGCTCCGCCAGCAGCTCCTGCAAGAGAGCAGCAGCAGAGCTGCCAAACCCACCTTGGGTCTGGAGCAGGGCTTTGTCCCACTGCAGCACAGCAGGACCCAGAGGAGCGATGGACAAAGCACAGCAAGGCTGGGGTGGGGGGTGCTTTGCTCCTCCACCTTCAGCTGGGTGCAGATGTTCTCGCACTGCAGCTTCACCGAGCGCCTCTGGATCACCTTGAAGTCCCAGGCACAGAAGACCTTGATGGCCAAGTCCCCTGTGGAGCTCTTCACACTCTCCCGAAAAGAGCGGGACACACTGCAGTGAGGTGAAGGGCATCAGGGATGGGGCCTGGCTGAAGGGGAAGGCTTCAGTGCCACAGGTGCCCCTGACCCACCTGTACACCAGCAGGATGCAGGTGACAAGGAAGGAGACCCCAACACTGAACAGGTAGGCCAGCGGCAGGTTGTAGGGGAGCAGGGGGGCTGGGAGGGGGCACACACTGCCCTCAGGACTGGAGGTGCAGGGGTCGTTCAGGGTGGTGTTGCTGTAGTAGCCATAGTACAGCAGCGAGTGAGTGAAGCAGCCCTGGGGGAAAGCACACGAGGGGCCCACGGTGACCTCGGCAGTGCTCGCAGCTTCCTGCCTAGCCTGGCACTGTGTGCCAGCCTCAGACACAGAGCCCTGGGCTGGGGCAGCACCACCCTGTGCACCCACAGCACTGCTTATCCTGGGGCCCAGGCTGGGCAAAGGCAGGAACTGGGGTATCTTACAGTGGGAAAGTGGGGCTGCCCGCCAGGCTTGGCACAGCCTGGGGGTGCCTGGGCCATGCTTACCGCTCCTGTGAGCAGCTCCAGGCCAGTGAAGGGCTGGGGGCTCACTGATGCAGCAGGGTACACGGCCTGCAGGACCACCACGAAGGCCAGGAGGATGAAGAATGAAAAGAAGTTCAACATAAGGAGTGTCTTGAGGAAGAGAAAGTAGGACAGGACACTGGAGCCAAAGCGGCCACCAATCTGCTTCAGGGCATAGTGCCCGGGCTGCGCAGCGCGGAGCAGGGACAGGAGCCTGTACCAGAGACCTCGGCAGCCCTGGGGAGAGGAACATGGGAGAGCAGTGGGGCTGGAGCCTGCACTGAGCCCTCCCAGCCTCTGTGCAGATCCGTGCCTCTGACTTACGAGGCCGACGCAGACCCTGGACCGAGCACAGGGTGAGGAGGGGGCCCAGCCACGGGCGCGCTGCCTCACTGGGCCCCTCTGCCCGCTCAGCTGCCGCCTGCCCAGGAGAGAGGGGGGTCAGGGGGTCCCACAGGTCCCGGGACAGCTCCGGCTGGGGGAGCCCTGCCCAGCTGGCGCTGATGGAAGGGGTCCTACCGGAGGATGCGTTTCTCCGCCAGGCCGAGGGGCATGGTGAGCAGCATGTGGCTGCACTGGCTGGGCGAGAGGCTCAGCAGCTCCTTCACCAGCAGGTGCCGCTTCTCTGGGGCACAAGGGGCTCAGTGGGACACGGCCCGCCGGGTCTCGGCCTGCCTGTCCCTGCCCAGCGCAGGGACAGTGGCCAGCCCTGCCTTTCACGGTCTGGGGCACCCTCACCTTGCAGCGTGGCCCTGCTGGGGTCGGTCTCCAGGTCGTAGTGGCGCAGGCTGGGCCGTGCTGCACGGCAGAGCTGCTGCAGGGGCGGGCGGCTGCTCTGGCGCCGCAGCCCGCGCCGTGCGGTTGCAGTACTGCGAGATGATGGCCCCGAGGCTGCGTCCTGTGGGCCAGAGCAGGGCTTGGGCAGGGCTCCAAGGGGCTCTGGGAGCTGGGGAAGGGTGGGATGTGGGTGGCACCTACCAATGGTGCGGCTGGGCATGCTGGCCAAGATCTGCAGGGAGGCAGAGGAGTGGCTGGGGTGCTCCTCACCTTGCCTGGGCTCTGGCCAGGCCATGGCACAGGCTTCTGGAACAGCCAGGTAGGCTGGGGACTCTGGGAGGGGGAAGGTAGGATGCAGAGAGACCATTGCTCATCCCTGTGTCCCTGCTGCTCTGCTCCAGCACACAGGCTAGGTGTGTGCTCCTCCCAGAGCACCCCTTTCTGCAGGGACGCTTTCTGTGTCCCCAAGATCCGATCTCCCCTGGACTGCCCTGCTCTGCACGGGCCAAGGCATCAGCAGGCTCCCGTGAATGCTTTGGCCCCAGCATTTTGGCACAGCTGGCCCAAGCAGAGGGACAGCCCTGGGCACACACACTGTCCCCAGCCTGCCCTGGCTGAGGCTGCAGTGCTTTACCTCTGGCCCTCTCCTGCATCTCCAGCTCCAGACCTGCCTCGATCAAGCTGCTCTGCTCCAGGATGAGCTGGTGGAATGAGGTGTGCAGGGCTCTCTCGTTGTCCGGACTGGGCTCCTGGCTGAAGGAACGCAGGCACACGGTGGCACGGACACCTGGCGCCTGCAGGACGCGAGGTCGTAGCCCATCGTACCTGGGCACGGCAGGGCAGCGGGGGAGGTCACACTCACCCATCGCTCTCGGAGCCCTCGGGGACGTGCAGGGTGATGGAGGGCGGCTGGGACATCCTGCGGGGCTGAGCGGGTCCTTCCTGCCCGGGCCCTGCCCTGGTGAGCAGCCCCGCTTACCGCGGCCCCCCGGTTTCCGCGGCCCCCCGGTTTCCGCGGCTGCCCGTGCCCGGCGCTGCGGGACGGAGCCGGAGCCGCGGCGTGCGGGGCCGGGAGCAGCCGGAGCGCGGAGTCCGCGGAGCTAAGCTGGGACTAACCCCGGCTCCAGCCCGGCCTCAGGAAGGAAGAGAGGGCGGATGGGGCGGTACCGCGGCCGAGAGGTTCCGCCCGCCGTCCGGGACCCTTCGGGTCGGGCACGAAGCCCCGGAGCACCAGTCCCGGAGCTCGGCTCGGGACGGGCCCGGACCGGCCCTAAGAGGGCCCGTCGGAGCAAAGACCCCCGTGCCCCCACCGTGCTCCCCGCCCGCTGCCGTCTCCCTCCTCCCCTGCTCTCCCTCCTCCGCCCCGGGGCGGGCTAAGGCTGCTCGGGGCCGGTGGCCGCTCGCCCCGGTACCGGGCACCGACGGGACGCTCCCCGGCGCTCCCGCCGCCCGGGCCGTGGGTGCGGACCTGCGGGGAACGGGGGCTGCCGAGCCCTGTCCGTCCCGTCCCTTTGCCGCCTCCCGGTACCGGGCGGGGGCGGCGGGAGCCCCCCGAAGCCCCCGTTTCCCCTGGGCTGTGCTCACCGGGGCCCGGCGGCGGCCGAGGATGGGGCCGGCGCTCCCGTTCCCCGTTACACCGGGGCGGAAGGAGGGCACCGGGATAGGGTGCGGGACGGGCGCGGCGCCCTGTGCCCGGGCGGGGGAGCCCCTGTCCCGCCGGAGCCAGCCCGCCCGCCCCGCCCCGGCGTCCCGGACCGCCAGGACCGGCCCTCCCGGGGCGGTGCCGCGCAGCAGCGGCGGCCGAACGCCATGGAGGGCGGCGGAGGCGCCTACGGGGCGGCCAAGGCCGGCGGTGCCTTCGACCTGGTGCGCTTCGTGCAGCAGCCGCAGGTGGTGGCGCGGATCGTCAGCGCGGTGAGACGGGACGGGACGGGACGGGACGGGACGGGACGGGACGGGACGGGACGGGACGGGACGGGAGAGCCCCGCCGCAGGCCGGCGCCCCTCGCCCGCCGGGCCCGGCAGCCCCCAAAGGGCTCCCCCGGTCTCGGTGCCGCCCACCGGACACCGGCTCCGCCCCGCAGGTCTTCGCCCTGATCGTGTTCGCCTGCCTGGTCGGGGATGGCTACATGAGCCGGCCCGAGAACCCGCAGCTCTACTGCATCTTCAACCACAACGAGGACGCCTGTCGCTACGGCATCGGCATCGGCGTCCTCGCCTTCCTCGCCTGCATCTTCTTCTTCATGGTGGACGTCTATTTCCCCCAGATCAGCAACACTACGGACCGCAAGTACCTGGTCCTGGCCGACCTCGGCTTCTCAGGTACCGGGGCCAGCGGGCCGGGCTGTGCCCGCCGTGGCTGCCACAATGGCCGCCTTGTCCCGTGACGTGGCTGCCGGTGCCTGGCCCAGGGAGCCGCTCCCGAGTCGCTCCCGTCTGGCGTGCTGCCCGCGGGCCACGCGCTGCTGCTGCTGCTGCTAATGGTGCTGCTAATGGTGCTGCTGGTGCTGGTGCTGCTGGTGCTGGTGCTGCTGGTGCTGGTGCTGCTGCTGCTGCTAATGGTGCTGCTGCTGATGGTGCTGCTAATGGTGCTGCTTCTAATGGTGCTGCTGGTGCTGGTGCTGCTGGTGCTGGTGCTGCTGCTGCTGCTAATGGTGCTGCTGCTAATGGTGCTGCTAATGGTGCTGCTGCTAATGGTGCTGCTGGCGCTGCTGCTGGTGCCACTAATGGTGCTGCTGCTGGTGCCGCTAATGGTGCTGCTGGTGCTGCTGCTGGTGCTGGTGCTGCTGAGCACCCCGAGGAGCGGCTGCCCCTGGCCGGGTGCCTGCCCCAGCCTGCACGGTGCAGCAGGGTCTGGGCCCGGGGCTGCCCAGGGGCAGCAGGACCGGCCCTGGCCCTTCATGCCACTTCCCCCCACAGGTCTCTGGACTTTCCTGTGGTTCATCGGCTTCTGTTTCTTGACCAACCAGTGGTCCTGGACACGGGCTGAGGATGTGTTCATCGGAGCGGACTCTGCCCGCGCTGCCATCACCTTCAGCTTCTTCTCCATCTTCTCCTGGGTGAGTGAAGCACTCTGCCCCATTTGGGGGGAGTGCAAAGGGGCCCCCTGCCCTCCACAGGCTGCAACAGCCTTGATGCTGCTCCTCTTCTCTCTGCAGGCACTCCTGCTCACCTTTGCTTACAAGAGGTACAAAATGGGGGTGGAGGACTTTGCTCAAAGCTATGCTGACCCCAGCCCGGGGGTTCCGACTCCCTACTCCAGCTATCCCAACATCAGCCACGAGAGCTACCAGCAGCCGCCCTTCACGCACACGGCGGAGGCCCCGGAGGGCTATCAGCCTCCCCCGGTGTACTGAGCCCTGGCTGGCTCCCGCGGGACGGCTGAACAGTGCAATTCCTTCCGCGGGGTGGGAGGGAGGGGTCTATGCCTTGGAGGGGACAGTGGGGTGGGAGGGTGATGGCTGCTTTGTTCGAAGGTGACTGGGCCTTTTCGTGGGGTGCAGGAGGGGCTTCTGCCTGGTCCCAGAGCTGAGATCCTCACTGGAGGGTCCAGAGCCCGGTGTGTGATTTGGTGGGTGATTTGGCACACCATGATTTGCAGCTGCTGGGTGAGCAGTGCAGCTGCAGGAGGTTGGGTGTGTGGGCAGCCCTGGCACGTACAAGTCTCTGCTTTTGCTGTGCTGCCTTGGTGGTGGGCTGCAGTTTATGCCCCCAGCCCTGGCCAGGCTCTGCCCCTGTGACTGCTGCCCTGGTCCCGTCCTGTCTCCAGTGCCTTTCAGCCCTGCTGGCTGCATTCCCCCAGAGCCATCTCTCGCTGCTGCAGCACAGCCAGGCCCAGCTCTGCCTTCCCGTGCCTTCCCCCCGCGGCTGCTTCTGGGCCAGCTCTTGCCAAAGCCCCTCTTCCCTCCTCTAACGCCGTGCTGTGCCTTCCCCCAGCCTGCACTAGAGCTGCTGGTGCTTGGATGATGTGGCTTGGGGTCTGTGGGAGCGGTGAGCACTGAGATCCTCAGCAGGGCCATGGCTGAGGACATCCTGGAGCACTTTCTTTCCCTTGTGTGCCTGCCCGAGTGCTGCTGCGAGGCTGAGCTCCCGCAGCCTGCCCGCGGCTCCTGCCTGCACTCCAGCCACACCAGGAGCCTGTGGGCCATTCTCAGGTTGTGTTTGCTGCTCTGCTGTGGTAAAGCTGTTCCCAGCAGCCGTGTGTGTGGGCCATCCCTGCTGGGGCCAGCATTTGAGTAGTTGTCACTGTAGGTTGGAATAAACTTTTTCACCAAGCCACCGTGTGAGCCACCACGTGCCTTTTGTCTCGGGGAAGCAGAAAAGGCTCCTGCTTTCTGCCCCTCCAGGCCCGGGGTGTGGCGTGGGGCAGCGCAGCCCCTGCCAGCTGCTGTGCTGCAAACAGCACACTCATGCTGGGCCTATTTTTAGGCCACCCTCGTCATGCTCCCTGCTCTGAGCAGAGCTCCAACCCCAGGCTGTGAGCAGCCCTCCCACCCTGTGAGCAGCCCATGCTGTCTCACTGCTCGCTGCCAGGAAGACAGCAGAATGCTATGGTAAAAAATACACACACAAATTATTTAAGTTATTTATTAACCTAAAGCAGCAGCAGAGCCTTCTCCAGCCCTGGGGAGAAGCCCAGCCTGGCAGTCAAGTGCTTGTGAATACAGTAATTCTCACCTGAAACGGGGGCAGCACGGGGGGATCAGGCAGCTCTTGGAGCCTTGCAGGGCACAGGCAAACAGCAGCCCTGGACTCAGATGCAGAGGCCTGGCCTGGCCAGAACAAAGAGCTACTGCTCAGAGCCTGTGGATGCTGGGAAAAAACACTTCCAGGGAAAAAACACTTTGGCAGGCAATAAGGAAACAACAACCTTCCAGAATCTAACAGAGAGGGAAGAGGATCCTTCAGTCAGCTTAGAGCAGACTAAGAGTGAGCCTCGAGAATTTTGGAAGGCTGAGGAGAATGCAGGAGACATGACTGGACTGGAGAAGCAGCTCCTCAGGAGAGCCCCTTTACCAAGCAGCTGGATCTTCCCTGGAATAATTGTCCACATCTTGGTAGATGAAACTCTGAGCCTCCAAACAGGTAACGTAGCACCAAAGTGCAGCACTAGCCTTGAACCTGAGAAAAACTGCCCTGAATTTGGAGGAGGCAAACGAGTCTGTCACAGCCTGCTAGAACACAGCCAGCCCTTGAGGTTCAGCACCTCAGAAGAATCAGCTGCCAGGCCTCCTTCTGTTTCAACAATAACTGACACCAGTGGGCAGGCTGGCAGAGAGGGTGGGGGCCTGCCCAGGGCTGGGCTGACCTGTGTGTCAGTTTAAAAGCTGTGTCACAGCTCTGTGACAAGGGACAAGTTACCTCAGACTGTTAAGGAAGGAAGCTAAAAATTGCATTAAAAACACTAATGGCTGTACAATGTCTTGAGAAACCTGGAATGTAGCAACAGTGCACAAGAGAGAAGGGCTGCATTCACAGGCAGCAGAAGCAGCACTGGTGGCAGCCTGAGCACGCTTGGAGCCCTGTGAGAGCTGGCCAGAGCCACAGTGAGCGGCAGCACTGCAGCCAGGCCCCACGAGCAGTGCCCCAGGGCCTGTGTGTGGCAGCCCCAGTGACTGTGCTGGTCCCTCTCCTTGTTCTGAGATGGGAACTCACTCTAGCCAGGCTTTTGCTTCAGCTTCCACCAGCATCAGGCGTGGTGGATCCTCAGTTGTGGCGCTTGGCGTGGGGAGGTTGGGTAGGGAGGGCTGAGGCACTGAACAGTTTGTTAAGTACAGAGAGGTCTGCGAGCCACAGCACTGAGCTCCCTTCCCCTCTGTTCTCCCAGCAGTCAAGTGAAGATCTTGCGAGGGGCAGCTGTCTCCAGCTGCCTCAGGCCCAGGGGCACGTTCTCCTTGTTGTCTGGCGCGGGCTGCTGGGGCCGCAGGCGGAAGTAGCAGGCTCGGCACACCGAGTGGTACTTGTCAGCTCCTCCAATCACCTCCACCTGACAGGGAAACACGGGGAGTGACTGCAGAGCCCGGCTCCCGGGGAAACACCGGGAGTGACTGCAGAGCCCGGCTCCCGGGGCAACACCGGGAGTGACTGCAGAGCCCGGCTCCCGGGGAAACACGGGGAGTGACTGCAGAGCCCGGCTCCCGGGGAAACACGGGGAGTGACTGCAGAGCCCGGCTCCCTCGGGAGCGTCTGTACCAGCGCGACTGGGAAAGTGAAACAGTTTCTGTTCCAAGGGCACTCACCTCCCGCTCTGCTCCCAGCCTCTTGGTGTAGGAGGCCTCTCGGAAGCACTCCATGCACACAGCGTTCAGCTTCACCACGCTCTCCGCCAGCGGCACCAGGTTCAGGATGCTCCCAAAGGCCTGTGAGACAGCACGGAAGATGCTGCTGGGTGGGCTCCATGAGGGTCCCAAAGCAGTTGCAGTACCAAAATGAGTGTTTTACCTTTCTCTGGAAGGTGCCATCCAGAGCAGCAACAATGACAGTTTTCCCAGTGTTGGCCATTGTCTCACAGAACTCCACAATGTCTGGGAACTGGGGGGTACAGGCACATCGTAAAGAAGGATGGGGGGCAGCACTTGGCTCCAGATCCCACAGTGCGTGCCCAGACAGCAGCACCAGGAACAAAGAAAATCAGAGCCACGTGCCCTGTCTGTGAAACAGGCTGCAGTCCCAGTGTCCTGTCTGCAGGGACTACAGGGAAGGAGGCTTTGATTGTGAGCACTTTGAGTGTAAGGCCACATGGATCAAACTCCCCAGGGCATGACCTCCCACCACCCTCTCCTACAAGGACACAGAGCCTGGCCTGCACAGGAGCACCAAGGAGTGTGTGTCCTGCGGAGCCCAGCGCACCCAGCCCAGCCGTGCACTTACGAACTGGCCCTCATCGATGCCGATGACAGCGGCCCCCAGCGCCTCCTGGTACACGTCCTGGAGGAGCCCGGCAGGCAGGGCCTCCATGGTGCTCCTGCGGGCAGGGAGGGAGTGAGCCGGGCAGCCCCGTGAAGCGGGGAGTCCTCCTGCCCCGGAGCTCACCTGTCGTGTGTGCAGACCCCGGAGGAGCCGTAGCGCGTGTCCTTGGCGTACTTCACCAGCAGGCACCGGTACTGGGCGAGCTGGAACCGCCGCACTCGCCGCATGAGCTCCGTGCTGCAAGACACGGTGTCAGCGGGCCCCAGCCCCAGCCCGCCGCCCTCCCGCCCCCCGGTCCGTGCCTACCTCTTCCCGGAGAACATGGGCCCGAAGATCACCTGGGGGCAGAACGGTGCGCTCAGAACGGCGGCCAGCGGGCAGCCCTGGCTGCGCCCCGTCGGGGCCCCGGCAGCCCCCTCAGCCCGGCGCGGCACCCACACCTGCCCCCGGCCCGTGCGCGGGGCTTCGGGGCAGTACCGTGCCCGCATCTGCCCCCATCCCGTGCCCGGGGCAGTACCGTGCCCGCATCTGCCCCCATCCCGTGCCCGGGGCAGTACCGTGCCCGCATCTGCCCCCGGCCCGTGCCCGGGGCAGTACCGTGCCCGCATCTGCCCCCGGCCCGTGCTCGGGGCAGTACCGTGCCCGTATCTGCCCCCATCCCGTGCCCGGGGCAGTACCGTGCCCGCATCTGCCCCCGGCCCGTGCGCGGGGCAGTACCGTGCCCTCATCTGCCCCCATCCCGTGCCCGGGGCAGTACCGTGCCCGCATCTGCCCCCGGCCCGTGCTCGGGGCAGCGCCGTGCCCCATCTGCCCCCGGCCCGTGCCCGGGGCAGTACCGTGCCCGCATCTGCCCCCGGCCCGATGCCCGGCAGCGTTGCCGTACCTGCATCTGCTCCCATACCGGTGCCCCGGGGTGGCACCTGTACCTATCCCCACGCCCGTGCCCCGGGGCGACCCCGTACCTGAATCTGCCCGCGGGGCCGGCTGGGGGAGCCGGGGTGGACACCGGGCACCGTCAGGCAGTTCATGGCGGACTGCCGGCCCGAGCCCGCGCGCGCCCAGCCGGCCAGCCCCGTCAGCCAATCGGAGGAGGCCTCTCCCCCACGCGCCGCAGCGCCAGCCAATCGCATAAGAGTCCGCACAGCCGCGCGGCAACGCTGCCCAATGGGGGTCATGGGCGCCAAAATTTTTATTTTCCTCTGCCCACCGGCTCTGCCCTCCAGACCCAAGCGGCCAATGGGAGGCAGCCCCGCCCCCGGGCTCTGGCCTCGCCTCCATAATCTGGTCCCGCCCCCGGGCTCGGGCCTCGCCTCCGGGACGGCCAATGGGAGCGCGCCCTCCCACCCGGCCCCGCTCAAGCCCCGCCCCTCGGCGGGCAGGCAGCCCGGGAACGGCACCGGCACCGGGATCGGGACGGGGAGCGGCACCGAGAACGGCACCGGGAGGGGGAGAGGCACCGGCACCGGGATCGGAACGGGGAGCGGGACCGGGATCAGGACAGGGAGCGGCACCGGGAGCGGCACCGGGAACGGCACCGGGATCGGCACCGGGAGCGGCACCGGGAGCGGCACCGGGAGCGGCACCGGGAGCGGCCCCACGATGGGCGGGTGGCGGGATATGTCCGCGGAGGTACGGCCCCGGGGCAGGGCAGAGCGCGGGTCCGGGCCGGGCCGCCGGCCGGGGGTGTTGGCGCTGCCCCGCTGCCTCCCCGCAGGCGCTGGAGGACCATTACTCTCCCAGTCGCTGGTCCCCCCGCCTGGACCGGGACACCATCATCGACGCCCACCTGGCGGTGACGGCGGCAGGTGGGGATCGCGGCGCCGGGACAGGGACTGCGCTCGGTGCCACGGCGCCGTGCCCCACCGCCTCCCCCCCGCAGGAACCGAGCGGGCCCGGGCCAGCGGGCAGACCCTGCTGCACGTGCCCTACGGCGACGGGGACGGGGAGAAGCTGGACATCTACTTTCCCACGGAGCCTTCTGAAAGTGAGTGTCGGGGCGGCGGGGACGGGAGCGGGCCGGGCGGACACCCGCTCACCCCGCGCTGTGCTGCGCAGCCTTCCCGGCGCTGGTCTACATCCACGGCGGGTACTGGCAGTGCATGAGGTGAGCTGGGCTGTCGGTGGGGCGCTCCTCGCGAAGGGACCCCCTCACCGGCTCCGGCTGACCCCTTCTCCTGAAGGGGCTTGCTCTGGGGACACGGGTCTGGCCAGCCCCCAGCTGGCCCCGCAGCCCCGGCTCCCGCAGCATCTCTCTCTGCAGTAAGGACGACTCGGGGTTTGCAGCCCCCCCGCTGGTGTCGCAGGGGGTGGCGGTGGTGGCGGTGGGGTACGACATAGCGCCTAAGGGTAGGTGCTGCCCTGCAGAGGCTGCAGCTGCCTGCGCAGCCCCGCGCCTCCAGCCCTGCCCTTTGTCCTCTGCTCAGGCCACATGGACACCATGGTGCTGCAGGTGCGCCGCAGCCTCGCCTTCCTGGTGGAGCAATACCCCAGGATCAGGTGGGCAGCTCCCGGCCGGGCTTGGTCTGTGGGAGTGGCTGGGGGGAGCTTTGGCACCTCGGCCCAAGCACTGGGCAGTGCCTGTGGCCGCAATCCCCTGTCACTGCACGAGGCAGCGGCTGGCAGATTGGGAAACATCTGAGCTGACACATTCAGGCTGTGCCACCTCCTCTGCACGGAGCAAAGCGTGCCCAGGTGTCCCCGGGTGTCTCTAGGTGTCCCTCTCAGTCGCTCCCTCCTTCCAGAGGCATTTACCTGTGCGGACACTCGGCAGGGGCCCACCTGGCAGCCATGGTGCTGTCCACAGACTGGACGGAATTCCAAGTGGTGCCAGATATCAAAGGTAGCGTTGCCACGTCCCAGAACAGGGTCGGGAGGAGAACTGGTGTCCACGCCTGGGACAAGGCTGATTATGCTAACTGGTTATGAGGTCCCAGGGCTGTGGGAGCCTCCCAGGCTGCAGCTCCTCACCTGCAGCTCCTCCTCTGCCCTCAGGAGCGGTGCTGGTGAGCGGCCTCTATGACCTGGAGCCCATCCTGCACACCTACGTGAATGATGCTCTGAACATGAGCCGGTGAGCTCACAGGCTGTGGGGACAGCCATGGGGACAGAGCACGGGCAGGGGGTGTCAGTGGCTCTGCAGCCACTCTGCCCCTGTGCCTGCCCAGCTGGGGAGTCCAGCTGATGGCATGGAGCAAAGGGCTGCATCAGCTCCACCGGCGTGGCTCCTGCAGGGAGGTGGCCCAGAGGAACAGCCCCATGAGACTGGTCACCCCAGCAGCGCCAGCAGCCTGTGAGGTGCTCGTGGCTGTGGCCCAGCATGACTCCCCAGAGTTTCGCAGGCAGTCCCAGGAGTACAGCCAGGTGAGCACCAGGCAGTCCCAAGAGCACAGCCAGGTGAGCACCAGGCAGTCCCAGGAGCACAGCCAGGTGAGCACCAGGCAGTTACAGGAGCACAGCCAGGTGAGCACCAGGCAGTCCCAGGAGTACAGCCAGGTGAGCACCAGGCAGTTACAGGAGCACAGCCAGGTGAGCACCAGGCAGTCCCAAGACTGAAGCCAGGTGAGCTCCAGCAGCACCCTGCTCGGCTCAGGTGGGGACACTGCTCCAGGCAGCCCTCACCAACTTACCCAACTGGGATGAAGAGCTTCTGCGCTGATCCAGAGCTGTTTCTGGCTCACTGGAGGACACCAGTCCTGGCCAGGACATTATTCCTGCTGCTTGTCCAGGGCAGGAGGAGCTTGGGGTCCATGCTGGGCGCCGCTCTCTCCGCAGGCCCTGCGTGCAGCAGGCTGGTCTGTCTCTGTGCTGGACCTGGCTGGTGTGGATCACTTTGATGTCATTGAGAGGCTGTCAGAGGACAGCTATGTCCTCACTCAGGTAGGCAGGAGGGCTGTGCCAAGGCGGATCAGGTGGGCTGCCACCTCCCTGCGGGGAGGTGCAGGGTCAGGGGCTTTCCACAGCGTTTGGTTCCTCATCCCAGGTGATTCTGAACATGATCTCAAGAGCATGATGACACCTCAGGAGTAAAGAGATGGGGACCGCGGCCCTGCCTGCCACCTCCTCAGTATAACACAGGGTCACCTCTGTCTCAGACCCACACTGTGCCCTCTCTGCTCAGCCCAGCCCAGGCTGGTGCCCCTTCCCTGCCGTGCTCCTGCCCACTGGAGCAGAGGGGACTGAGGGCTGCAAGGCTCTGACTGGCTAGCTGGACCATGAACTTTGTTCCCTCAGTGTTCTTTAAACTGCACATTGGCAATACAGAATAAAATGGGAGTTACTGCTGCCTGGGGTAGTGCTTCCCAGGGAGCCAGTGAGTGCACACCCAAAGCAACTGCTGCTGAGAGAATCCCTTCTTCCAGTGCAGAGTTCTGGGACCTGCTGCCCCAAAACATGACAGGGAAGCCTGGGGAGCCCACCTGCTGCTGTGGGACAGAATGACATAAGGCTCTTGAACGGGAGTGACACAGCCATCTGGGCCAGGCTGGGCTCACGCTCCTGGGACAGTCCTGGCCAGACACAAACCTTGGCATTGCTGTGCAGCAACCCTGGTCCTGTGGCTGAGATGGTTCCATGTCCTCAGGAGCAACTGTCCCTCCACGGGGACCTTGGCTGTGATGATGTCCCTACTGCAGAGCAAGGAAAAGAGAGAAAACACCCTGCACAGCGACAGTACCACCAAAAGGTGTTTATTTTGTGCACTCACTGCCTCAGGGTCTGGGGTCTCCGCTAGGCTGGGCTCACATTGGTTTGTCAGGCTGCCTGTGAGGGCCGATGTCACGTTTCAGATGGCTGGGCACACATCTGGAGCACAAAGGGGCTGCTCCCAGTGCTTGCTCTGGGCTGCCCAACCGCTGCAGCTGCGGGGCTGGCAGAATGCTCAGGCTCCCCCCGTGCCTGGAGGCGCTCCATGCAGTCCCAAGGCCAACTCCTCCTGGCACTTCCTGACCACAAATTCCAGCTTTCTCCTGGCGAGCTCGGTGTCTCGGGCCGAGACGTCGCGGTGCCAGACGGCGCGCAGGGTCCGTGCCGACCAGGGGAGCAGCAGGACGCTGACAGCCTGCCCGCTCTCAGCCTCCTCCTCCTCGCTGACGGCGCGCAGGCGGCCGCAGAGCTCGGCGGGGGACGGCCAGGCCCCCTGGACATTCACCATCACAATGTTGGTCTCCACTGCTGCCAGGTTGACGGAGCAGAGGGGAGAGTCCAGCGCGTGGATACCTGCGGGAGGCCGAGGTGGTGCAAGCCCACTGCCCAGCTACCTGCCCCAGGTTCTGGGTGAAGGAGAGCCCTTTCTCCCCCCATGTGGTACCAGGGTCACTGAGCACAGCACAGGCACGGTCATGCCATGATCCTGGCACTGCAGCCAGGTGAGGATCCCAGCAGCATCCTCACCCTGCTGGAGACCCAGTGTGGCCATGCAGGGATGGTGCCCAAGGCAGCAGTTCGGTGGTGCTGCTGGGCAGTGCCAGGTGTGCTCTTACAGCCCAGCACCCTCGGGGCCCCGAGGTACCTTCCGCAAAGCTCCGGGCATGCTCGTGGTCCCTGCTCAGTGTCCCCTCGGCATGCTGCAGCCCGAGGAGGGCAGCGGCCGCCAGCACTCCCGCCTGCCGCATGCCCCCGCCCAGCAGCTTCCTCACACGCCAGGCCTCGGCCACAAACTGCCTGCTCCCCGCCAGCACCGCCCCGGCCAGGGCGCCCAGGCCCTGCAGAGCCACCAGCGGGGTCACCCCAGCTGTCCCCGGGCACCTGCCCCTCCCAGCCTGCCAGGGCTGTTCTTAGCCCAACACCTGCAAACAAGGGCAGGCTCTGGCTTGTGCTGGCCCCCGCCAGCCCTGCGGACCCCTCCCCACACAAGCAGACCTTGGAGAAGCAGAGGGACACAGAGTCACAGTGCTGGGCAATCTGGGCTGGCTCCACGCCCTGGGCCACTGCTGCATTCATCAGCCGTGCGCCATCCATGTGCACCCGCAGCCCGTAACGGTCTGCAAGCCCACGGACCTGGGAGTCAGGGGGACAGCTGGTTTGGGAGGGACCCCTGGAGCATCTAGTGCCACCACCACGAGCCATCTCTGAGCTCCAGTGTCCTCGCAGTGCCATTGTGCAGGGCCCAGCTACCCGTGCCAGGCAGGATTGTGCCAGCACCGTCTGTGGGCTCTCACCTGCCTGAGATAGGTGAGGGGCAGTGCCCGGCCACCCGCCGAGCTGTGCGTGTTCTCCAGACAGATGAGCTCAGGACGAGGGTGGTACTGGCTGCCGTGGGCCTCACGGATGGTCAGCTCCAGCTGCTCCAGGTCGAAGGTGCCATTCGGCAGATCTGGCAGTGCCTGGGAGTGCACACCGGCGACCTGTGCCCAGGGCAGGGGAGAGCGCGGAGCTGACAGGGGACAGCGGTGGTGCACGGGGGCTCCAGCCCTCTGTGCCCTCCATCGGGTGTGTACAGCCCCCACCCGCGCTGCAGCCCGTGGCTCGGGACAGCGATCCAGGGGATGCCCTGGCAGCCAGCGGAGGGCAGCACGCGGCCGCCCTCCTCTCCTGCACCGCCGCCAGCGCCGCCGCGCTCACCTGCGCGGCCCCGCCGTGCTCGTAGACGTGCAGGTGGGCGTCCTGGCCCAGGAAGAGCTGAGCCCCCCTGCGCTGGCAGTGGCACATCACTGGGGGAGAAGGGCCGTGAGGGAGGGGAGCAAGGGCAGCATCCCCAGCCTGGGGGCACGAGGGGCTGCGAGCGCAGCCCCGGACTCACCGGCGATGAGGTTGGCCATGGTGGCCGTGGGCACGAACAGAGCGGATTCGGTGCCCAGAGTCGCCGCGGCCCGGCGCTGCAGCTCTGCGGGGACACGGACGTCCTGGGGGCTGGCTCTGGGGGGCTCGGGGATCCCCCGGTCCCGGCTGCCCCCGCAGCCCCGCTCCGGGCCCCCCATCCGCTGCCCCCGGGTCAGGCGGGGACCCCCGGGCGGGCGGCCCGTTCCCCCCGCCCACCGTTCACCGCCGGGTCCTCCCCGTAGTCGTCGTCGCCCACGGCGGCGCGGGCCATGGCCCGGCGCATGGCGGCGCACGGCCGAGTCACCGTGTCGCTCCGCAGGTCCACCACGAGCGGCTGCCGACCCCCGGACACCCCCCCGGGCCCGGGCAGCCGCCCCCGCCGCAGCGCCGCCCGCATGGCCGGGACCGCCCCCCGCAAGGGCTCCCGGGCGGGGGCGGGTTCGCCCTTCCCGGGAACGCGGGGCGGGAACGGGGCAGCGGCTCCTGCGCGGGCACTGCCTCGCAGCGCCGGCCCCTTCCCTCCATCCCCACCTCTCACGGCTGGGGCAGCCCCGGCCCTGCGCTGCCCCGCGGCCCCTCCCCGTGCTGGGTGCCCGACGGAGGGAGCGCCAGGGGGATCCTCTTTCCATGGCTGAGCAGGAATCGCTCCCGCCCCGCTGCCTGGGGTCGGCTGGGCGCTGGAGCTGCTCCGGCTCCGCTGCGTCTGCCCTGGCCGCAGCGATTGCCCCGGTGTGCCCCAAGCCCGGCGGCACCGCAGGTGGGCTGGCGCTGCAGCGGAGCTCTGGGGTGTCCGGGCAGCTTCGCTGATCTCGGCACTCTCTGCCAGCTCTGAGGGGACCCGCCAGCCTCCTGGCAGAGATCCCCACTGCCCCCCGGCAGGAGGGCGTGTGTCCGAAGCAGTGGCGAGACCCCCTCGCCTCCCCGCGCTGGGCTGGAGCAGCCGGACCATGCTCCCTGCTCCCAGCGCGGGGGGCACCACTCTGCCGCGCCCAGCGCCGCTCCCGGCCTTTGCAGGGCACCAGTGGGGCAGGTGCACCCATTAAGGCTCCTCTTCCCCTCAGCCCCTGCCCGCCTGGGGACGCTGTGTGCTCCAGACACCTGTGCCATGCTGCTGCCTTCTCCCTCCCTCCGCCACGTGCCCCCCCCAGCCTTGGCCGCCCCAGGTCCCCTGTCCTGAGCCCCCTGCAGCTGCTCCGCTGGTGCCCGCTCTGCCCATGCCCCTGCCTGTGCCCCTGCCCATGAGCCCCTCCCTCAGTATCGCCCGTCGCCCCCCGCGCTGTCAGCCCGCAGCTGAGGGAGCCATAAACAGTCCTTCATGAGACGTTTTTCACACGCAGGGCCACATGTTAACAGTTTTTCTTTATTTACTGCCTCCATTTCCTCTTTGTTCCAGGAACTTGTCCTCCAACTTCAAGCTGCTCATGATTAGGCAAAAAGGCCTCTAATCTCCCCGATCTGATTTACCGTCACTGAGAGCAGACGCTTCCCGTTACTGGCCCTGGACCTGGGAGCATGGACAGCTGAGCTGTGCCGGCTGCTGAGCCCAGCTGAGCCTCCCCAAAGCTGCCCCGCCGCACACGCCGCCTTCCCGGCAGCTTCCTCTTCCAGTAAGCGCCGGGCAGCGCGGCCGGTCAGGTGAAGGGCTGGGGAGCAGCAGTGTGGGGCCCCAGGACAGGGATCCCCCTCCACCTGGGGCGGCTGCATGGGGCAGGGCAGCCTTTGGAGCCGCTTTCTCTGCCTGGAAGGGTCGGGTGGCTGGAGCACCCCTCAGCATGGCCTTCCCGGCCACTCACCCATCCACCCCATGGCACCTGATGGGCTGGTTGGTTGCCCTGGCGTGCCCAAAGCTGGAGGGGAGCTCAGGGCTCTGCTGTGGGCAGCCCCCCCAGCCCAGTCAGGGTCTGCAGCCAGACAGGGGCTCCTTCACTGGGCAGCAGCCACAGCTTCTGCAGCACTGTGCAGTGTGGCTGCGTGTCTTCCACAGAGCCCCTTGTCCTTCAGCCCTGTGCCTTTCCCGGGGACTTCGCTCTGGGACCTGCCTGGGGGTCCCCCCTTGGTACCAGCACCCAGCAGGGCCACAGCAGGGCCAGCACCGGGACCATGGAAGTGCTTGTGGTCTTATGTGGAGCGGCTGAATGGACACCACGGGAGCTGGGCAGAGGGTGGGCAGTGCCAGGCAGGGGCTTGGCTGGCAGCTGGGGACTAGCAGGGGGCTCACCCTGGCCCACACTGCACCACAGGACTGCAGCCACCACCTGCCCACACCAGCTCCTGTGGTGGGCTGAGCCCCTGCCCCGCTGGGCTCAGCTCCTGCTCCAGCCGTGCCTCCCCAGGGCTAAAATTAGCAGCTGAGGCCTGGCTGGGGAGCCGGGAGTGGAGCCCAGATCCCACCGCGGAGGATCGGGTTTCCCCCCTCCCTACCACAGGCCTGGCAACCACTGGGGCCGATTCCCGGAGCTGGGCCCCCCTGCTACCAGCCCCACTGGCAGCCCCATCCCAGCCTGCCAGCCCCAGCCGCTGGATCTGCACGTCCCCAGGGCTGAGCCTGGCGCATCCCGGCCGCAGGAGGGGCTGTGGGATGTGGGAGCACGGTGCTGCAGCTCCCGGGACACAGCCGGGCTGGGGCTGATCCTCTGCCCCTGGCACACACACCTGGCTGCCCTGGCACACGCACCTGGCTGCCTTGGCACAGGCTGGCAGTGGGCTCTCAGCCTCCCAGCAGAGCATGGCTTCGGCCATGGAGCTCTCAGTGGCCAGGCAATGCCCCGGGGGTCTCGTGCTGGGTGCCCAGGGCTGGCTCAGGACTGGCAGTGACCATAACCCGCTCACGGTGAGCTCGGGATGCTTTCCTGTCGGGCGGACTCAGCCCTGCAGCCACACTGCCGGTGCTGCTCAGCCTGGCCGCCCTTTGGGCTCCGCGGCTCGTCCCAGCGGGGCGGCACCGGCCCGGCCCGTTCTGGAGAGCCCCGCTCCCACCGGGGCCGGGGCAGCTGCTGTGCATCGCCCTCGAGGGACCGGGGCCACGGAGCCGAGCAGTTTCCTGCTGCCGGGAACGGTGGGGCGATGCCCGGGAGCGCCGGCCCCGGGCTCAGCCGGGTCGGGTCGGGTCGGGTGGGGCCGCCGGGACTGGGACCCCGCCGCAGTGCCGGGGTGCCGGGGACACGTCCCGAGCTGCGGCACTGGCCGAGCTCCGGCCCGGGACAGACCCCCGACGGACACGGTCCCGGGGCTGCCGGGGCCGCGGCCGGTGCGGGAGCCGCGGGCTGCCCGGGAGGCTCGGTCGGGCCCCGCGGGCCGCTGCCGGAGCCCGGTGGCCGCGGGGTCCCGGCCGGTGCCCCGTCCCCAGCCGGCGAGGCCGCGGGTGCCCCCCCTCCGCCGGCAGCGACTTTTCCAGTAAAACCGCCGCAGAGATCCCGGCTTCCCGACAGGCCCGGCCTCCGCGCCGGGGGGGCGCCGGCCGCCCTTAACCCTTCCCGGCCCGGCCGGCCGCGCTGCCCGCCCGACGGGCGGCTCCGAGCCCGGGACCCGCGGGGCTCTGCCCGCCCGGCCCGGCCCGGCCCGGCCCGGCCCGGCCCGGCCCGGCCCGGCCCGGCCCGGCCCGGCCCGGCCCGGCCCGGCTCGGCGGCTCCGGGGGCTCTGCCCGCCAGGCCCGGGGCGGTGATGGCCCCGCTCCCCGGGGCCCCGGCGGTGCCAGTGCGGGGCCGGCCTGACCCGCCGGGCACCGGGACCGGCCGCGCCTCGGGGCCGTCTCGGGCGCTGCCCCCGTGGGCTCCGGCCGCGCCGGGAGCGGCCCCCCCAGCCCAGCGTGCCCCCCGTGCCCAGGGTTTCCCTCCTCAGGGTGCACCTGAGCAGGGCCGTTCCGCGGGGCAGATGGGACACCCCAAGGGCCAAGGAGCCCGAGAGCCGTCGGGGAGAAGCCTCTGCCCGGGCTGCCCGGGGGGCTGTGGGGAGGGAGCAGCCGGGGGTCCCTGTGAGAGCCCTGAGCTGGGGCAGCTCCGGGGCGCCCTGGAGAGCGCTGGGGCCGCTCACAGCTAAGGGCTGCTGGCTGTGGCCGCTCCACATCCCCGCTCCAGCGCTCCGCGGGCCGCCCCGGCCGGGTGGGCACACCGGGCATGGCCGGGCACCGGGGGTCCGTGCCGAGAGCCGTGCCGCCGTGCCCTGCCTGCCACCAGCTGCTGCACTGGCTGAGCCAGGGCTGAGGTAAGTGCTCTAATTGTTTTCTCTGTGGCCCGAGATGAATAATTGAGAGGTCTTTGAGGAGAATTAATTAGCCCGTTTATTGGCAGTAAATGCTTTTCTCCAGATGATGAAATAGATCCTGAGCCACACGTGGGGCAGGCAGATGCAGGTCATTGGTGCTGCTGTGGAGCACGCCGTGCCGGCTCCACAGGCCAGCCGTGCTGCTGTCCCGTGCCCACTGTGGGCTGGCACTCTGGTTCTGGCTCCCACGGCCGCCCACGCTGCACCCACGGCCAGCACGTGTGTGGGGAGCCTGGTGTTGGTGGGAGCAGGGGGCACGGGGGGGCAGGCAGGGCTCTGTGGCACAGTTCTCTGCCCCCATCATGCCCGTGTAGCTTCCCGCTTCCCCCCGGCTCACATCCCATCCTGGTGCAGACCCTAATGTGTCTTTTCCCTGTGCAGACCCTGGTATGTCTCTTCATGTCTCCTGCTTGGTTCCCCTGAATGCCAGGGTGGTGCCAGTCTGGGACTTGTAGCCTGCACCTCCTCCTCACCTCCTCGTCTTCCTCCTTCTCCCCTGGGTATGGGGTGAAGGGCCTTGCATGGCCAGAAATGCTTAAACAAGGATTTCCTTGTTGCTGCATGAGCTGTTTGCCTTCTCCCGGGCCAGCCGTTAATGAGGTTTGGCAGGAGGCACCGTCAGCCCCAGGCACTGGGTTTCTATAAATCAGCCTGGAGCTCATGTGTGGGGCTGGGATGGAGCTGCTCCATCCTGGTGCATGGGACTTCAGCTTGTGGGTCCTGGGAGCCCCTCTGGGAGTGGAACACCCTGGCACGGGGGAGAGGGGCAGGGGCTGAGTGGGACAAGGGGGCTGCCTGACCCAGGTGGGTCAGGGCGGCCACTTCACGCATTTCCAGCAATGGCAGAAAGTGCAAAGCAAGAAATAAAGCAGTTTCCTATGGCTGAGGTGCTTTGTCCTGATTTCTCCCACATGCCCACCTGGGTGCTCTGAACTGGGATGATGGCCCTGCCCTGCCTTGGGGTGGGGGGCTGTGGCTGTGTCCCCGGACAGCCTCAGGCATGCAAAGCGGGGCAGGCAAATCACCCGGGCTCCTGAGAAAGCTGCTTCCTCCTGCTGGAAG